GCACTCACCTATCACCATCCCACCTACCTTCCCCAGCCCCACCCCTCTCTCTCTTTATTTCTGAGCTCCCTTCCCCCTCCCTCAATTCTGAAGAAGGGTCCCGACCCGAAATGTCAACTTTCCTGTTCTTCTGATGCTGCCTAGCCTGCTGTGTTCCTCCATCTCCACACTGTGTATCTCTGACTCCAGCATCGGCAGTTCTTAACTATCTCTGTTGAACTTTTGTTGCACTCCCTTTATGCCAATAATATATTTCATGAAATAAGGAGATCAAACTGTCTACCTCAATGCAGTCTACCAAACTCCTATACAGTTGAAGTAAAACTTCATGACTCTTGTGCTCAAAATTTCTTAGAATAAAAGCTGACATTCCATTAGCTTCCCTAATAGTTTGCTGCACCTGTACGTGACTTGACAACAAGAACACCTAGGTTCTATTGTATGTCTGTATTTTCCAAACTCTTACTAACCATTTAAGAAGTAGTCTGCATTATTGTCCCTCCCGCGAAATGGATAACTTTGCATTTTTCTATGTTGTATTCACTGAGCCTGCCTGAGTCCTCTTGAAGCCACTTTATATCTTACCCACAACAGATGTTCCCACTTAACTTTGTATCATCCACATTTAGGATAGACTGAAAGAGTTTTGACTGTGTTTCTTGCAGTAGGGAAGGCTGAGATGAGATATTCACAATCTTTAGTCTGAGCAGAGTAGGTGGGGAGAAATTGTTCCCATTTGTTAAGGGGTCAAGAATGAGAGGACACGAATTTAAAGCAACCGGTAAGGGAAGCAGAAGTGATATGAGGAAAACCTTTATTGTGCAGTGAATGGTTGAGGTCTCAAATATAAAAATGCAGTTACATCAAATACAATCAAATCTTTCAAAAAGGTATCAGACTGTTATCTGAAAAGGAAAAATTTGCAGAGCTATAAGGAAAAGACAAATTAAATGAATTGAAATAAGACGGAAATAGCTGGGGAAATTCAGCAAATCTGGCAGCATCTGTGAAGAGAAAGAGTCAATGTTTTGGGTCCAGTGGCATTTCTTCAAATCTTAAAATAATCTAAAAGAATGGAGTTGGTACAGACGTGATGGACCAGATGACCGCCCTCTTCGCTATTAGCCGTGTTGTAACTGTTTCTGCTTTGAGCAGAATTTGCAGGTGGTGGTGTTTCTATGTATGTGCAGCCCTTGTTCTTCTAGATGGTAGAGTTGGTGAGTTTGGATTGTGTGGTTGAGAAACTCTTGGCTGATGTTAGTGATGAAGAGAATGAATGTTGAAGGTAGTGGTTGATGCATTGATCAAATGGCCTTCTCTGTCCTGGATGTTGCGAGTGTCTCAAGTGTTCTTGGAGCTGCACTCATCCAGGCAAGTGCATAGTATTCCCATCATGACTTGTACCTTGTAGATGGTAGACCAATTTTGAGTAGTTAGCAGGTGAGTTACTCCGTTGAATTCCTAGCCTCTGACCCTGTTCTTATCACCACAGTATTGTTATGACTGTTCAGTTTCTAGTCAACAAATTATATTAGATCCTAAGATCAAAACCATTTTGATGGATAAGTAACAATATAGTTTATTTTACTGCATGCAGCACCCGGCCTTGGGACCCACTCAATGACCTCATTCAGTATGAAAAAGAAGGTGTCATCCAGTCCAAAGTTTGGCACCGAACTCCAATGGTACGTTCTGCCAGTATAATTAGTCTCAGTAACCAAGGGGGAAGGAAAGACAATTACAAACGTCAGGTAGGTTTTAAGATCGTGTAATGCTGAATTGTTTTTAACTGGTGCCCATCCATAAGTCAAACGTGATTTCTTTTTTCTTCCTCCAACCATTTTGGAGCCAATGGTCTGGTGTATTATCGCTGGACTGTTAATCCAGAGACCAAGGTAGTTCCGGGGACTCAAGTTCAAATCCGCCATGGCAGATGATGGAATTTGAATTCAATAAAAATCCAGAATTAAAAGTCTAACAATGACCAGGAATCTATTGTTGATTGTCAGAAAAACCCATTTGGTTCACTGAGATAACAAGGTGTAGAGCTGGATGAACACAGCAGGCCAAGCAGCATCAGAGCTCTGAGTTCATTCAGCTCTACACCTTGTTATCTCAGATTCTCCAGCATCTGCAGTTCCTCCCATCTGGTTCACTGATGTCCTTTAGGGAAGGAAATTGCCATCCTTACCTGGTCAGGCTTACATGTGACTCCAGACCCACAGTAATGTGGTTGACTCTTAACTGCCATCTGGGCAATTAGGGATGGGCAATAAATGCTGCCTAGCCAGCGATGCCCTCATCCCATGAATGAATGAATGTAAAAAAAAAATTCTTTCTCCAACTTCCACATTCAAATTAGTCATCAGTGAAATTCCATCAAGTCCAAACTCCTATCACTGGGAATGGCAAAATAATTGAGCTTCACTTTTTAAGGTCATGCAACTGCTAGAAAACTTTTCTTGCTGCTTTTTGCTGAATTTGGTCTATCCAAAGATTCCTGTTTCATGAAATGATTTTAAAAGAGCTTTGAAATTTTTTTTCCTCTTAAGCATGGCAACATATTTGTAAATAACCCAACCTTACCCACCCTCCATCCTCCTATCTCCTTGACTGATCAAAGACGTTGGGCTGTGGCACCATGCCACACCCAGCCACAGTGCAATCCACGATAGCTGCCCCAACTGTTGTATTCTGCAGTGATCTTCTTGTCTTTGGGAAAGCATGTCCCAATTCCCCTCCATGGTCTGAACAATACCACGAATAATCGCTATCCAGAAATGTGAGTAAGAACTATGTATATTTCACTTTGAAGTCATGTGCTGATATTTTAGATATAATGTGGACTTTGGTTCTTTAATATTACTCAAACATTCTTTATTTCATAACTTGTGATTATATTGTATTGTGAAATAAGATGAATTTTCCACAACATTTTACAGCTTTTCACTTTTTATTAAATCCTCCTACATTCATGAGATGTCGGTTTCTAGTCCCTAGTTATCCTTGAGAAGGTGATACATATGGAGGAATCGTCGTCTATTCAGCCCCTTGAGCCTGCTCCACCACTCAATAAGATCATCCGCGTTCCTGTCTACCCCGATAACATTTCATCCCCTTTCTTTTAAACAAGAATCTATCTAACTCTGCTTTCACCACTTCTCAGGAAGTGAGCACGAAAGACTCTCGATATTCTGAGAGAAAAGAACTTGACCTCATTTCTTTTATAAACGGGCAGCCCTAAGTTTTAAATAGTCACTCCTAATTCTGGATTGTTTAATTTGAGGAAACATCCTCTCCACATCTACCTTGTTAAAATCCCTCAGGATTATGTTTCAATCAGGCCACCTTCTCTATAACTGTGACACTATATTCTGCATTCTGTTCTGTTACCCTAATGTACTTATGTAAGGTATGATTTTCCTGGATAGCGCACAAAACAATACTTTTCACTGTATCTCAGTACATGGAACAATAATAAATCAAATCAAATCACCTCTTACTCTTCTAAACTCCAGTGATGCACAGCATTCTTGAAGCACAGCAGTCCATGTGGCATTATTGTTAGAGGGTGAGCTCCAGAAAAATGACCCAGAAAGATGATGAAGCAGAGACAATGTACCTTCAAGTAGAATTAGTGTAGATGAGGCGGAGGTGATGGTGTTCCAGTGCACGTGTGCATCCTTTATCCTTTTTGGTTCTATTAAATTTAGTCACAAGATACGGGCGTCGCTAGCTCGGCCAGCATTTATTGCCTATCCCTAACTCCTGTTGAGAAGTTGGTGATGATCTCTTAAGATGATGGTTTGAACTGTGGTGACAACTCTGTGCTTTGTGTGAGTAATGAGCCCCAGAACAGCTTGGCTGACTGTGCCGCACTTGTAGCGGAAGACGCTAAGCTTGAGAAGGTGCTCAGTTCACTGGCCATTCTTTTCTCTGGGCTCCTCTTGGCCAGCTGAGGTTTCACTTCTGCACAAGAACATAAAAAATGGAATTAGGAGTAGGCCATTTCGCCCTTCAAGACCATTCCACCCTTCAATGGTTGATCACTGACTTCAGCACTATTTTCCTGCACTATCCCCACATCCTTGATAATTTTCATATGCAGATATCTATTAAACTTTGTCTTGAAGCAGTCAACATCTGAGCCTCCACCACTATCATGGTACAGAAATTCCCAGATTCACCACCCTCTGGGTGAAGAAATTCCTCCTTATCTCAGTCCTAACTGGCCTTCTAAGATTCTGAAACTGTATCCCCTGGTTCTGGGGGAAAGTCTTCTCCAGCTCGTCCTTTCCATACAGTCCAGAGGTCACAGCTGTGAGTGACTATCCTCCAGTTGTTAATATCCATCATCTTCATATCTCACTGTCAAGCGTCCTTGAAGCAGAGGTATTGATGCGCTGGAAGTTGTGACCCAGTGAATAGCTCACCACAAGAAGGTCTCCTAGTGAGTTTATGGCCATCATCCATCTGATGAACATAGCTGAGCAGACTTGATTGCTTAGCAATGAGTTAATACTGATGGAATTCGCATACTTTAGGCCCTGAGTTAGTGAACTTGTCCTGCCAGGAGATGCTGAGGTTATGCATGAAACAGTGAAGGTTGAAACCGTTCAGCCTTTTCTCCTGCATGATAGATATCATCTAAATGTGACCACTGTAGGGGAGTGCACTGAAGGTACAGACTCTCAGTTTGGTGTTCTCAGCCAGGTTGCTGTTGTCCCAAAACTCACAATCAGCTTGAATGTTACAGCTGCAGCATTTGTGATGCAGTGTTGATTTCAGTGTCAAGTGATAGATTGCTGGTCATTATGGAACCTGGTTGTGTGAATTTATCCACAATCATCCAGTTCTGAAACCACACTTGAATTAGGGGCAGATACACTCAGCAAGGAGCTGCTGTCTGAATAGGGCAACACTCTCAAATCCTACTGAGCATTATGAGAACAGTGTGAGAGGCCTTGATAGTTGTTGCAATCGCATCAAACACCATTGTTATTGCAAAGTATCAAAATCACATCACATGCATATCCTGGGGCACTGCCCCCTGTCTCCAACAGAGGCAAAAGTTTGTGCTGATGCTGTGAGAGTGTCAGTTTCCTATACTTGATGAGGTCAGGTGGTGTAGCATCAGCACCTAGAACTTGCCAATAATGAGCAAATCAGTAGTTTTGTTAGGCCTCTTATTATGTTCACTAGGGTAGTTCACTAGAAATCAAGCCCCACTATTCCCAGAGTCACAAGAAATGTGGAAAAAATTGATTCAGACTATCCAGTGTCCTCAGTTTATCTGACTGATGATCTCAGGTGCTAAGAAAAAGCTAGCCAGGTTTATGTACATAACAAGGAAAGATCTGTTTCTTCCAAACAAATTATCTTTAGCAAAAAGGCATAAGGAATTGCTACATTATAACTCTATAACTTGAACATTGCCATTTCTTAAATTCCTCCTCTGTCCTAATGGCAGAAACACAAAGACAGACGGGACATCAGTATTAAGAGTGGGAAAATGTATGAAATTCAGCAAAGCATAGTTCGCTAGCAGCAGAGAAGTTTGATGAGTTACTTCTTTCCATTTCTTCAAAGCCTTTTAAAGCTTTTTATTTCACTTTTTCAGTCCACAGTCCAAATAATAAAGGAAATAAAGAGACGTGATCTTTACAACTTCCACTATAGGTTTTGTGTCCAGTTCTGCCATAGGCTTCCTATTTTTTGTTCTCAGGAGATGTGGCCTAGGCTGGCTGGGCCAGCATTTATTGCTTATCCCTTGTTGCCCTTCAGAAGGTGGTGGTTTGCTGCCTTCTTGAACCATTTGGTAAACGTTGTCAAGGACTTCCTGGGTGACAGTGTTCTCAAGGTAGTGATCCACCTATCTCTGTAAATGTTTATTGCAGTCCCTGATGACCTCCTCTGCCTTTGTTTATCGCAGAGTTATTTTCTTTGCTGGTGGACCTTTCACCTTTCTGATTCCTCTCATAAATGCTCGCAACATTTCCTGTGTTGAGGGTTCTCTGGATATTCTGGCAAAATTACCACAAGTAATCATTGGTGTATGCCTAGCAATCTGTTGGACTTTACTTGGAACTACCGTTCGTTCATTTGGTTATCTTGCTTGAATTTCTCTTGTAATCAGTGAAAGAAGTTCACTTGGCTTCAATGAAGGTTACATCACACTGATGTTAGTCTCAAAGCCAGAAAGCATTTCTCCATTCTTGCTTCCTATATAGTGAATGTACAATGTAGGGTATTGTATGTGGTGTCTTGAAGTACTTTCCATTTTGCTTCTAAATCCTGTATGTGGGAATGCTGGAGAGCACCAGTTCAGTTGAGGAGCTGTTTCTTTTTGACTGTGTAGACTATATGGCTGAGGTTGATGTAAGGGCTGAGGTCAGTTTTGAGATCAATAAATTTTCACATATCAGAAACTTTAATGGATAAAGGCATTGTGCAGGAAAATGGTGTTGGTGTAGAGGGAGGTGCTGGCCTCGTGGTATTATTGTTGGACTGTTAATCCAGACACCCAGGTAACATTCTGGGGACCCGCATTCAAATCCTGCCACGGCAGATGGAGGAATTTGAATTCAATAATTATCTGGAATTAAGAGTCTAATGAAATCCATGAATCCATTGTTGATTGTTGGAAAAACCTATCTGGTTCACTAATGTCCTTCAGGGAAGGAAACTGCAATCCTTACCTAGCCTGGCCTCCATGTGACTCCAGACCCACAGCAATGTTGTTGACTCTTAACTGCTCCTCTGGGCAGTTAGGGATGGGCAATAAATGCTGCCTAGCCAGCGACGCCCTCATTCCCATGAATGAATAATAAAAAAAAATTGACAATAATCATCTTGAATAGTAGAGTGACTCAAAGGGCTGAATAACTTATTCCAACTCCTATTTTTATGTACATTTTTATTATGGTATTGTGTTTGCTGAACAGCTGTTGTGTTTTACACATCAGTCAGCAAGGACTCTTCTGTGCATGGAAATCACAATCTACAAATCTACACTTTGTTTTGCAGCCATTAGTGGGCCCATTTTTGGCAAAAAAAGAAACATTTTGATACATTGGCAGGCTTTTTTTAAGAAAGGCCGGACATATTTGAAATATGAATTGTATTCTGTTTGATTGAGATAGGTCTCTGTACCAAAACGTACCCGGAATAAGCAAAGTGGGCAGCAGAGCCCTGAAAGTGGATGCTCCAGTCCAGAACTAGATCAGCAAGACTCATCGGAGAGTGAAAGTGAGTTTGTTCTCTTTGTCGTTTTCTCTTTGTCTCTTCTTTCTCAAATTCTACTCTTTTCACCAACTTATGTATTAGACAGTGTAAGACTCCTCCATGTGATTCAGTTTGGTTTTGTCTTATTTTAAATGATTTTTCAGGCTTTCCTGTCACACCCACAGCATGTAACGTCAACCACCCAACTTAGAGGTTCAAACAGGAGTACACAATCAGAACAAAATAGATAAAATCTATGGACCAATGCATGCATGACTACCATGCTGCTATATTTCTGATCCTGTTTAGACCCCTGACAGTCACATGATGGAGGAGACCAGAAATCAATCTTTAGAGCCTTCAATTTATTTGCAAAATGAAACATTGCACATCTATTTCTCAAACTCTTTAAAAATCATTTTTGGGACATATTCTAGCCCTTGTGGCACCTACTTATCATGAATCAAACACACTACAGGCAGCACATTCTCCCCTTCCACAGGGAGAATGGAACGTGGAAGAAAGATAGATAGTCAAAAACCTCCTCAGCTGCCCACAGCCTGGACCTATAGATTGCCCATAAAAACCAAAATAACTGCAGATGCTGGAAATCAGAAGCAAAACAGAAATTGCTGGAAAAACTCAACAGGTCTGGCAGCATCTGTGGAGAGAAATCGGAGTTAATCCCAGTTCTGAGAAGGGTCCCTAGACCCAAAGCATTAATTCAAATTACTCTGTTTTTGAAGCTATAGATTGCCCCCTTGGCCAGACCCAGGAACAGACCCACGAGATCCTCCAATCTTCCCCCTGACCCTTTTGCACCAGGTGAACACTGATTCAGAGATTGAGGCTGAAACGCAATCACAATCTGAGAAGCAACACCTCACATCATGAAAAAGGGGGCTGCAATCTCCCACAACCCATAAAAATGTGGGTCAAAGACCCCTGAAAGCCACAGAGCTTGTCGGCAGCCTGGGAGTTGGTGAAATAACTGAATCTGCTATTTAAGGGAGCTTACTACTTGCAATGCACTCCACCCCAATTTCCCAAAGGAAAGAGGGAGAATTCCAGTATCAAGAATATCCACTGAGGAGCCCTGCCACTTCCAGACAGCAGGACAGAATGGTGGTGGTGTGGGGAGTGGGAAGTCATGTCTAACAAATTTGGTTGAATTTTGAGAGGAGATGACCATATGTTTGGATGATGACCGGGCAGTTAATGTAGTTTATATGGATTTGAGCAGGGCCTTTTGACAAGGTCCCACATGGGAGACTGATCAAGAAGAGGAAACCGTATTAGATCGATGGTAACTTGGCAAGTGGAATCCAAAGTTGCTTCAGAGAATTTGTCGGGGTACAGTCAGGATGTGGTTTACAGGTAGAAGACTATGTGTGTTACAGGTGCCTGTGTGCAGTGGTGTACCATGGGATCAGTGCTGGGACCCTTATTGTTTGTGGTATATATAAACGATTTAGAAGAAAATATGTGGAGGGAGTAATAATATTACAGATAACACAATGGTTGGCTGGTTGGTTGACAGTGAGGGAGAAGGTGTTAGGTTACAGGAAGACATAAACAAGTTGGTCAGAGGGACAGGTCAGTGGCAGTGGAATTTAACCTTGATATGTGTAAGGTCATGCATTTTGGGAGAAGTAACAAGACAAGGATGTACACAATGAATGGCAGGACACTCAGAAGCTCAGAGGAATGGAGGGATCCTGGGGTGCTTATTTATAAATCCCCTAAGGTGGGTAGAACAAGTCAGTAGGGTGGTGAAGAAGCCATACAGTGCACTTGCCTTGAACAGTAATGCCATAGATTTTTTATTCATTCACAGGATGTGGGCATCACTGACTAGGCCAGCATTTACTGCCCATGCCAACCATAGTGCCCAGAGTCATCCTCATTGTTGTGGGTCTGGTGTCACATGTGGGCCAGACCAGGTTAGGATGTCTGTTTCCTTCCCTAAAGGATATCTGTTAATGAACCAGATAGGTTTTTCTGACAATTGCCAATGGATTCACGATCACTGTTAGACTCTTAATTCCAGATTTCTTTTTATTGAATTCAAATTCCAATAGCGGGATTTGAATTCAGGTCCCGAGAACATTACCTGGATCATTGGATTAACAGTCCAGCAATAAACAGCACCAGGCCCTTGCTTCCCTCTGCAGGGAGATTATGTTGGAGCTGTACAAACCTTTGGTTTAGCCACATTTGGAGTACTGTCTGTAGTTCTGGTCACTGCACTGTAGAATGGAAGTGATTGCACTGGAAGGGGTGCAAAAGAGATTTGCCAGGATGTTGCCTGGGATGGAACATTTCAGCGATGAAGAGAGGCTGGATAAGCTCAGGAATATTTTTAGAGCACAGAAGGTTGAAGGGATGCTGCAGTGATTGTAATAAGGTCAGCCAGGTGGGCATCATAGAATATGAGTTCCAGGATCAGGGAGCCCTGGCTGACAGATATAAACAGGAGTGTCAGAGGTTATAGAACATAGAACATAGAACAGTACAGCACAGTACAGGCCCTTCAGCCCACGATGCTGTGCCGAACTTTTACCCTAAACCTAAGGTCTATCTAACCTCCACCGCTACCTTATACTATCATCCATACACCTATCTAATAGCCACTTAAATGCCCCTAATGAGGCCGATTCCACGCTCCGATCACTCTCTGAGTAAAGAACCTACCTCTGACATCTCCCCGATATCTACCTCCTTTCACTTTAAAACTATGTCCCCTCGTAAAAGCTATCTCCACCCTAGGAAAAAGTCTCTGGCTGTCTACTCTATACCTCTGGTCATTTTGTACACCTCTATCAAGTCACCTCTCATCCTTCGTCGTCCTAAAGAGAAAAGCCCGAGCTCTCTCAACCTTTCCTCGTAAGACCTTCCCTCCATTCCAGGCAACATCCTGGTAAATCTCCTCTGCACCTTTTCTAACACTTTGACATCTTTCCTGTAATGAGGTGACCAGAACTGGACGCAATACTCCAGATGTGGCCAAACCGGCTTTTGTATCGCTGGAGCATAACTTCACAGCTCTTGAACTCAATCCCTCTATTAATGAAAGCTAACACACCATACGCCTTCTTAACAACTCTATCTACCTGGGTGGCAGCTCTCAGGGAACTGTGAACATGAACCCCAAGATCCCTCTGCTCCTCCACACTGCCAAGAATCTTTCCGTTAACCCTGTATTCTGCTTTCAAGTTTGTCCTTCCAAAATGAATCACCTCACACTTTTCATGGTTAAACTGCATCTGCCACTTCTCAGCCCAGCTCTGCATTCTATCAATGTCCCTTTGAAACCTGGAACAGCCCTCCGCACTATCCACAACTCAACCCACCTTCATATCGTCCGCGAACTTACTAATCCACCCTTCCATCCAAATCATTTACAAAAATCACAAATAGAAGAGGACCCAGAACAGATCCTTGTGGTACACCACTCGTAACTGAGCGCCATGTTGAATATTTTCCGTCCACGACCACCCTTTGTCTTCTAAGGGTCAGCCAATTCTGAATCCAAAATCTGCCACATTTCCCCCATCCCGTGCCTCCTTACCTTCTGCATGAGCCTACCGTGGGGAACCTTATCAAATGCCTTAGTTAAATCCATGTACACCACATCCACTGCACCACCTTCATCCATGTGTTTGGTCACCTTTTCAAAGAATTCAATAAGGTTTGTGAGGCATGATCTACCCCTCACAAATCCATGCTGACTATCACGAATCAAACTGTGCCTTTCCAAGTGATCATAAATCCTGTCTCTCAGAGCCCTTTCCAATAATTTGCCCACCACTGACATAAGACTAACTGGCCTGTAATTTCCGGGGTTGACCCTATTCCCTTTTTTGATCAAGGGAATGACATTTGCCTCTTTCCAATCTTCCGGCACTATACCCATGGACAGTGAGGACGAAAAGATCATCACCAAAGGCCCTGCGATCTCGTCCCTCGCTTCCCATAGAATCCTTGGATAAATCCCATCAGGCCCGGGGGACTTCTCTATCTTCAACCTCCTCAGAATTCCGAGCACATCTTCTTTACTAACATCAACCTCTTCTAGCCTACTTGCCTGTTTCACAACGTCCTCCTCTACAACTAGGTCCCTCTCAGTTGTGAATACTGAAAAAAAGTATTCATTAAGGACCTCTCCTATCTCTTTAGGCTCTGTGCACTAATTCCTTTTACAATCCTTGATCAGCCCTACCCTTTCTCTGGTCATTCTCTTGTTCTGCACATACGTGTAAAAAGCCTTGGAGTTTTCCTTGATCCTATCCGCCAAGGTTTTCTCATGCCCCCTTATAGCTCTCCTAAGCCCTTTCTTCAGCTCCTTCCTGGCTAACTTGTATCCCTCTAGAGCCTTTTCCGTTCCTCTTTTCCTAAACCTTAGATAAGCCTCCTTCTTCCTCTTAACCAGTCGTTCGACCTCTCTGTGGAGAACCATGGCTCCCTCACTCGACCGCATCTTCTCTGCCTGCTAGGGACAAACATATCGAGCACACGCAGTATGCATTCCTTAAACATTCTTCACATTTCTGTGGTGCTCTTCCCTGACAGCATCTGTTCCCAATTTATGTTACCCAGTTCTTGCCTAACTGAATTGTAATTACCCTTCCCCCAATTATAAACTTTACCCTACCGGATGTACCTATCCTTATCCATGACTATCGTGAAAGAAACAGAGTTATGATCGCTACCGCCAAAATGCTGTTCTACCACCAGGTCTAACAGTTGGCCCAGTTCATTGCCAAGCACCAAATCCAAAGTGGCCTCTCCTCGTGTTGGTCTATCCACACACTGTGTCAGGAATCCTTCCTGAATGCACTGGACAAAATCTGCTCCATCTAAACTATTACAACTAAAATGTTTCCAATCAATATTTGGAAAGTTGAAGTCTCCCATGACTACAACCCTGTGACTTCTGCACGTCTCCAGTATCTGCCTCCCAATCCACTCCTCTACTTCTCTGCAACTATTAGGGGGTCTGTAAAAAAACCCCCAACAAAGTGACTGCTCCTTTCTTGTTCCTGACCTCAACCCAAACTGACTCTGTAGACATATCATTCTTGAACTGCCTTTCAGTAGCTGCTATACTCGCCCTGACTAGCAATGCCACTCCCCCACCTCTTTTTCCACCCTCCCTATTTCTTTTAAAGCATCTAAATCCCGGAACTTCCAACATGCATTCCTGTCCCTGAGTTACCCAAGTTTCTGTAATGGCCACAACATCATAGTTCCAAGTACTGACCCATGCTCTAAGTTCATCCGCTTTATTTCTGATACTTCTAGCCTTGAAGTATACGCACTTCAAACCAGCTCGGTGTCCGCAATTACACTCCATCGACCGTATTTCTTTATACACCATCTCACTCCCTGTTGTGTCTGTTGGAAGGCCGAATACCTCATCCTCTGAATTATAAATCCGGTTCCCCACCCCCTGCCAAACTAGTTTAAACCATCCCGTACAGCTCTAGCAAACCTCCCTCCCAGGATATTTGTGCCCTTCCGGTTCAGGTGCAACCCGTCCTTACTGTACAGGTCCCACCTTCCCCAGAATGTGCTCCAATTATCCCCAAAGTGGAAGCCCTCCCTCCTACACCAGCCCTGTAGCCACGTGTTTAGCTGCACTCTCTCCCTATTTCTTACCTTGTTATCACGTGGCACTGGTAGTAATCCAGAGATAACTACCCTGTTTGTCCTGGACTTCAGCTTCCAACCTAACTCCCTGTACTCGTTTTTCACATTCTGGTCCTTTTCCTACCTCTGTCATTGGTACCGATGTGTACCATGACTGCTGGCTGCTCACCCTCCCCCTTAAGGATCTTGAAGACACAATCACGGGCCCTGGCACCCGGGAGGCAACATACCATCCGTTCATCTCGATTGCGTCCACAGAACCGCCTGTCTGTGCCTCTTACTATTGAATCCCCCACTACAATTGCTCTCCTATTCTCCCCCCTTCCCTTCTGTGCCACAGGGTCAGGCTCAGTGCCAGAGACCTGCCCGCTATGGCCTTCCCCTGGTAGGTCGTCCCCCCAACACTATCCAAAACGGTATGTTCACTCTGAGAGCTGGCTCTGATGGAGCTGGATCAGTGTCAAGGACTCTCCACGTGTAAAGGATGGGTGACAGGATTCCGGCCTCTGTGGAATTATTTCAGGGAGCTGATTGAGGTGTATAAGATTATGAGGGGCATGGACAGTGTGAGCACAAAGTAGCTATTCCCCTTAGTTGAAGGGTCAACAATGAGGGCTCATAATTTTAAGGTGAAGGCAGGAGGTTTAGAGGGGATTTGAGAAGAAATGTTTTCACCCAGAGTCATAGAAATGTACAGCACAGAAACAGACTTTCGGTCCAACTCTTCCATGCCGACCAGGTATCCTAAATTAATCCAGTCCCATTTGCCAGCATTTGGCCCATATCCCTCTAAACCCTTCCTATTCATATACCCATCCAGACACCTTTTTAAATGTTGTAATTGTACCAGCCTTCACCACTTCCTCTGGCCACTCATTCGATACATGCACCACCCTCGGCATGAAAAAGTTGCCCCTTAGGTCCCTGTTAAATCTTTCCCTTCTCACCTCAAACCTATGCCCTCTAGTTTTGGACTCCCCCACCCCGGGGAAAAGATCTTGTCTATTTACCCAAACCATGCCCCTCATGATTTTACAAACCTGTTTGAGACCTTGCCTATTTATCGTATCCATGCCCCTCGTGATTTTATAAATGTCTCTAAGGTCACCCCTCAGCCTCCGACGCTCCAGAGAAAATAGCCCCAGTCTATTCAGCCTCTCCCCATAGCTCAAACCCTCCAACCCTAACAACATGCTTTTATATCTTTTCTGAACCCTTTCAAGTTTCACAAATTTGGAATGCACTGCCTGGGAGAACAGTCGAGGTGAGAAACCTCAACTTTTAAAAAGTACTTGGATAAGCACTTGGATAAGCACTTGGAATGTCATAAACAAAAACAGAAATTGCTGGCGAAACTCGACAGGTCTAACAGCATCTGTGGAGAGAAAGCAGAGTTAATGTTTCAGATCCAGTGACCCTACTGCAGGACTGATTGTAGCTCGGAAAATGTTGGTATAAATGCTAAAGGTGGGGTGGGGGTAAGAGTAAACAAAGGTGTAAATGAAGTCCAGAGAGAGAGAACAACAGTTAGGCAGACAAAGGAATGGGTAAATCAATAGCTGCTTGAAATACCTTTTCTGTGCTCTATGACTCGGGCCTGTCAGCATTGACGTGAAACATTAATCCTGTTTCACCTTACACAGAAAGTCACCCGAGTGTTGAGTATTTCCAGCAGTTTTTGCATTTATTTTGGATTTCCAGCATCTAACCTAGATGTTTTTATATTGAGGTCCTTCCCCAAAGTGTTTATGTTTATTATTCTAAGCCAAAGATGACTGCCCAACAAGAAATTAAAACCACATAACAAATGTCTTTTCCTTTTCTCTGGTTGCATGCTGCTTGTCATTTTACCAGCTTGTCATGTCAGTGTGAGACAGCAATGCTTCTCAGAATGACAGAACAGCTCTTGAGAGGATGACATACTGATTACAGCAAATAGCAGCTTGATTTTACTCCTCCTTGCAATTCGATGCAGAATTTCAGCCAGGAGCCAGAATTTGAATTGAGTTTATGGATTCAAGCAACATCTGCCTTTGACTCAATCCTCTTCTGATCTTGGACAGGTGATCTCATAGAATCATAAAAGAATCCCTACAATATGGAAGCAGGCCATTCGGCCCATTGAGTCCACACCCTCCCACCCAGACCCATGCCCCTACCCTATCCCTGTAATCCTGCATTTCCCATTGCTAACCCCACTTAGCCTGCACATCCCTGAGCACTATGGGCAATTCAGCATGGCCAATCTACCTAAACTGCACATCTTTGGACTATGGGAGGAAACCAGAGCACCCGGAGGAAATCCATGCAGACTCTGGGAGAATGTGCAAACTCCACACAGTCGCCAGCAGGTGGAATCGAACCTGGGCTCCTGATGTTGTGAGGCAGCACTGCTAACCACTGAGCCACCGTGCTGCCCCTCTTGCTCAAATTACCATGATGCCATCATTTTCATTTTTCAATTCTTCAGAGATTATAAGCACTCACCCTGCAGGTGTATCATGATGAATCTTTACACTTCTAGTTCAAGGGCTATAATTTGAATTCGGTTCTCAAAAGATGCAATGTTTAGATTCACTCATGCACAGGCTGTTCTACTTAAGATAGAATCATAGAATAGATAGGAAATTGAAAAAGCCTAATGGCACTGAGAAGATGTGATGGTGCCCTGAAAGGATCCTCTCGAGTTTGCTGGAATGCACATGCATTGAACAACTGACTCCTTTCGTCTCTGTTAATGGACTTTACGATCCTTCCATGACATTGTTCCTTCCTTTCTTTGTAACCTCTTCCAGCTCTGCAACATTCTAAGAATTATGTCCTCTTCCTATTCTGCTTCTTCTGCTTCTTACACTGCTGTACCCCCCATCCCCATCCCCATCGACAGCCCTGCCTTCAGCTGCCTGGCTCTAGGCTGTGGAAGCTCCTTAAATCTCTCCACTGTCTACTGATCTCCCCTCCTTGAAGCTTTTGGATGTCTCTCCAAATATTTTTTTTCCTAATTGTCAGTTGTTATTTAATTACCCTAATGTGAAACAGATGATTTACTGTGTTAAAGACACTAAAAACAATTTATCAAATTTAAAGATGCAGGTCCTGAGAGAGATTGATAATCTATTTTAGCATCACAGCTGTCTCACTTTCTCGAAAGTTTTGATGTGTCTGTGGTAATAGTCCCTACCTTTCTTACAGAGCAAAAGACAGCGAAGCACAGCACAAGGCTGAGGAAGAAAGCGAATGATCTTAGTGAAATTCTGAGTGCCATAGATTCAATAAAGCATGCACAGGAGGAGATCAACAGGTATGAGCTGCAAATTAAAGTTAAAGAATTCTACATGACATTGTAAAGCAGATTGACTGGGTTCTTGATCTTTCCAAAACTGTCAGGGCAGATGATTTACTTGAAGTTGACTTGAAGATTCATATGGAAGATTGAAGTTATAAAGAGAGGCTGGATAGGCTGGGACTTTTTCCCTAGAGCGTAGGAGGCTGAGGGGTGACCTCAGAGAAGTTAAAAAAACGATGAGGGGCATAGATAAGGTGAATAACCAAGGTCTTTTTCCCCCGGTGGGGGGTCGGGGCGGGGGTCCAAAACTACAGGGCACATGTTTAAGGTGAGAGGGGAAACATTTAAAAGGGACCTGAGGGACATTTTTTTCACACATAAGATGGTCTGTATATGGAATGAGTTGCTAGAGGAAGTTATTGAGGTGAGTACAGTTACAACATTTAAATGACATTTGGACAGGTACATGAATAAGAAGGGTTTAGAGGAATATGGGGCAAACGCAGGCAAATGGGACCAGTTCAGTTTAGGAAATCTGGTCAGCATGGATGAGTTGGGCCAAAGGGCATGTTTCCATACTGTCTGACTCTATAACTCTAATTGAAATTGAATGGCAATTTTGGAAAGTTTCATTAATGCAGAACAGATGGAACAGTGACAGCATCTGGTGATGAAGAGAAGCGTGGAGACTGAAAAGATAAGGTCTGCCTTGAGCCAGTTTTTAAAATATTTTTATTTTCTAATTAACCTGTTCACAGATGTTATTACCTGTGGAACAGGTGGGACTTGAACTTGGGAGTCTCAGTGTAGGAATAGGGACATTACCACTGCACCACAAGAGGGCCCCTTGAGCCAATGTACCTTTGACAATCTGATCTGATTCAGGTGATACCAATGCTGTGCAATAGGTGCAGTTGTATATCACCTGATAACTAGTTTTCAGAAAGCTTCAAACTTTATTCACGTCCCACAGGAGAGTATGGTCGTGAGATTTCTTAGATTATGTAACTTGCAGATTTGTGGTTGGTGATTGATTTTGAGAAACAGTTTCATGGACACTGACAGGCTCTAAGGAGCTCAGCAAAATAACGTTTATTTGTTTATTTTGATGTTTGCTCACACTGCCACAGAAGATAGGAATTAGAAGTATAGATCCTAGATGTTTGCTTTTCTTCACCACAAGCCCTCAGCTGCTGGCCATGTTGTAATGGTGCACTTTCAGGGAGGTCATGCTCGTTCACTGCAGGCTAGACACAGATTTTTCAGGTTTGGGCAAGAGATACAGACATGAGGACGTCTTTACTCTGAGTGGTAATGACCTACAACATGGGGGTAGTGGTCATCAGTAATTCAACAGGGAATTGGGTGGACTGCTGAGGAAAATAAACTTGTAGGACTTGGGGGAGCAAGCATGGGAATAGGACAGATTAATTAGATAGCTCTGCAGTGACCTGGCATGAACCTAATGGATTAATTGGTCTTTCTGAGCTCTAATCGTTTTATGACTAATCCCTTTTGTGCATTCTGGTGTGTTTTTAAATTTACATCATAGTCCCTCCTCTTGTGGGTGATGGATCATGAACTTTCCTATTTTACCAACCATAAATATGAGATGGTGTTATGACATGGGCTATGAATCCCCATTGGATTTTGCAGGAACAGTTGTTTTGCTCAAAGTGCCCCACATGCTGCATTCAAGTTTTGAGTTCCACCTCAGACCCCAGCTCAGATTGCAATTTATTCCTGTGCAGCATTGAATTCACAGTGCCTGCAGTGAACCACTAGGGGACAACAGAGTGTTCCTGACCCATACAACCATATCTTTGATCATCCAATTACAGTATACAATGGCAGGAATTTTCAGGTTCCTTTTGGTGGAGATTAACTCTTCATCTCTCTCTTTCTACCCACCAACTGCTGTCCACCCCTACTCCCACATTCCTCTCTCCTTCCCTGTCTCTGTCTCTCTCCCTCTCCCTCTGTGTGTGTGTGTGTGTGTGTGTGTGTGTGTGTCTCTCTGCCTGTCTCATCTCTCTCTCTCTTTCTCTCTCTGTGTTTCCCCACCCCCCCACCCCCCCAACCACATAATGTCACTCTCTGTCACCTTATGTTTCTGTCTCGCTGCATCACCCACGTCTCTCTCTTCATCTACCCCCCCTCTCTCTCTCTCTGTCCCTGGAGGTGGAAGGGCAGGTAGTGTTGAGGAGCTGAGATGACTTGGGTAGGCTAGGCGAATGGGCTCATAAGTGGCAGATAGAATACAGTGTGAGAAAATGAGAGTTTATGCACTTTGGTAGGAAGAATAGAGGCATAGACTTCTTTCCAAACAGGGAAAGAGTTCAGAAATCTGAAGCTAACTTAGGAAACTAACTTAGGAAACCTACTTCTATATTCTTTCAAAGTTAACATGCAGGTTTAGTTGGCAGTTAGTTGAGTCTGTATAAGGCTCTGGTCAGACTGCATTTGGAATACTGAGAGCAGTTTTGGGGCCTGTACCTAAGGAAGAATGTGTTCACGTTGGAGGGTGTCCAGAAGAGGTTTACAAGAATGATCCCTGGTGATGAAGGGCTTGTCATATGAGGAGCAGTTGAGGACTCTGAGTCTGTACTCAATCGAGTTTGGAAGAATGACAAGGGAATACGGAGAGGTCTTTATAGAGTAGCTGCAGATAAGATGTTTCTAGTAGTAGGAGAGACGAGCACCTGAGGGCACAGCCTCAGGGTGAAGGGACAACCCTTTAGAACTGAGATGAGGAAGAATTACTTCAGCCAGAGGGTGGTGAATCTGTGGAACTCATTGCTGCAGGGGGCTGTGGAGGCCAAGTACTGAATGTATTTAAGACAGAGATAGATAGGTTCCTGATTGGTAAGGGGATGATGGGTTAGAGGGAAAAGGCAGGAGAATGGGATTCAGCCATGATCGAATGGTGGAGCAGATTCGATGGGCCAAATGGCCTAATTCTGCTCCTATGTCTTATGGTCTCTGTCTCTTCCACCACCTCCTCTACCCCATCCCTCTCTCCTGTCTCCTTGTTTCTGTCTCTCTCTCCTCTTCATCTTTCCCCTCTCCCTTTGTCCTCTACCTTCCTCACACCCCCTGTCCATTATCTCTATCTTCCCCTACCCTTCTCCTCCTCTCTCCCTCATTCTCCCTTTTCCTTCTCTCCGTTTCCTCCTGTCCTCTTGCTCTCCCTCACTTTCACACTCTCTTTCTGTCTCTCTGTCCTGGTACACTCGCCCTGGGAACTTAATTTCTTGTTTTATTGCTCAATTATAAGTAGATACTCCTCATCTTCTCATTTTGAGCCTGCACTAGGCTTTTACAGCTGCTGTAACTCCACTTTAATGCCTGCTGCAATCAGGTCTGTGGGTTTCACTCCTAGAAATGTCAACGATGATTACTATCTGTATGTTAGGCTATTTTGAAATTAGCTTTGCTTGAGATGAGCCTTTAACTTTTTTTGTTGGTTTATGCCTCTTTGACTTTTAAGTTATTTGGAACAGCAAGTTTTTTTTTAATAAGTATTCATTCATGGGATGTGGGCGTCACTGCTGAGCCAGCATTTATTGCCCATCCCTAGTTGAGAAGGTGGTGGTGAGCTGCTTTCTTGAACTGCTGCAGTCTACCTGCTGTAGGTTGACCCACAATGCCCTTACGGAGGGAATTCCAGGATTTTGACCCAGCGACAGTGAAGGAACGGCGATATATTTCCAACTCAGGATGGTGAGTGGCTTGGAGGGGAATTTGCAGGGGTTGGTGTTCCCATATGTCAGCTACCCTTGTCCTTCTAGATGGAAGCAGTTACTGAGGTTTCAGGTCATATTATCCTATAACATGATATGAGTAACGTTTGAGCTATAACAGGGTCATTGTTAGCAATTAAAGATTTGCTTTCAAATTTCTGATTTGTAAATGATATCACATTAATTGATCAATTAATTTGTTGTCAGGACCATTGCCATCTTATAAATAGATATTGAAAATATTGAACAAAATCTAAATTATAGATTGCTGTGCTAATGCTGCATGACCAATTACTCCAAACATCCCCATCACCGTTTGCTTCCTAATTCCCATTTACAAATGAACAAGGAACAAGAGTAGGCGACTCAGCCCTTGAAGCCTGCTCTACCATTCAGTATTATGATGACTGATCTGATTTTAACCTCATCTATAACATTCCTGCATATCCATCAGTTATCTTTCATTCTCTTGGTCATCAAGAATCTATCTCCCTCTGCCTTCAAAATGTTTAAAATTTCTGCATCCACTGCGTTTTGAGGAAGGGAATTCCAAAAGCTCATAACCCTCTGAGAGAAAAAATATTTCCTCATCTCTACTTTTAACTCTGACCCCTAATTGTAGATTCTCCCATAGGGGACACATCCTTTCAACCTCCACCTGGTCAAGACCTCTCAGGATTGTCTATGTTTCAAATAAGTCACCTCTGACTTGCTTAAACTCCAGAGGAAGCAGACGCAGCCTGTCTATCCTTTCCTCATGAGGCAATCCATCCATTCCAGATATTAGTCTCGTAAACCTTCTGTGAACTGCTTCCAACACATTACATTCTTTCACAAGTAGGCTGACCAGTACTGTACACAGTACAATTTTCTTTAACTGCTTTTGGAAATTATTGCAAATCTCCTACTGTAGTCAAACTAAGTACAGAGGAAGAGCTAGATAGTGACCACATCCAAAAGGAGAGAATTGAACCATCATTACTTGGCATTCAAGGCTGAATCTCCCAGTGCGAGCAACCTAGTGGTTGTCAGAAATTGAATGGACTAGCCATATAAATACTATGGGTAGAAGTGCAGGTCGGGTCTGCAAAAGTAACTCACCTCCTGATTCCCAAAGCCTGTCCCATCATCTACAAGGCACAAGTCAGGAGTGTGGTGGAAATACTCCCCGCTTGTCTAGATGAGTGCAGCTCCAACAACACTCAAGAAGGTCAACAACATCCAGGACAAAGCAGCTGACTTGATTGGTTTCCCTTCCCCCGACACACAGTGGGAGCAGTGAGTGTGTACCATCTCTAAGATGCACTGCAGGAGTTCATCAAAACGCCCAAATTCCATGACAAAGAAAAATGTATGTTTTCTGCATTAATGGTGATAGCGAAACAAAAACTTCTTTTCATTGTTATCATCGTTTGCATTGTTCTCCTCTCCCAATTCTCCTGCACAGTACGTAATTGAGAAACATGAAAATGTTCAGGGGCTCCCCATTGCAGCGCTCTGGCTATGATTATATGGCATGTGCATAATGTCTAAGATGAAAGAATTGCAAAGGTAGTAACTGCTAGGTTAATATTGTTCAGGATATTATGGATCAGTGAGACTATTGTTGCATAATCAAAGTATTAATAAAGTGGGGTTTTTTTCCTTAAAAGTACTCCTGTGCTAGAAATATGAAATGCTTATGAATCGCAGTATAGTTTGCCTTTGGACTAAAAAGTGCACTCTTTATTTTAGAAGTTTGACAGCTCTGAGGACTCGAACAGTGGCAAGCCAGTCTAATGCAAATCAATCGCTTTTGCAGCACAGAGACTATGTGGTTATTATCTTCCTTATCCTGCTTCAAATTATTATTAATTCCATATTCAACTAACCAGAATCAAACCACAGCCATATATCAAAGCAACCTGGATCAGTTTTCTTAAGGTTTGTTCTTCATTAAATGTAGATCACTAACTACAAGAGTGCCAGGCATTATGTTGGACTAAATGTGCTTCTAATTTGATGACAAAATTCTTTGAACCATTTTCATTGCGTGTATGATATTATGTATATTTAATTATCCTACAGTCAAATGCAATGCTTCAAAACCAACTCTCTATGCTCGCTGATGCTCCATATAATACTGGCTAGATCAATTTTCACAACTGTAGTTAAGCAGTTTTAGCAGAAGCCATAAACTAAATAATGTGCAAACGTCAGAATACCACTAACAGCAAAAATACTCATCCAATATACAGAAGTGCTTTTTGAATAATTTCTGAATGCTGTTTTGAGAATTCTGTTAACTGGGGTTTCGTTTATGAATGTTCAACTCCCTTAAAAGAGACAAGTGAGCTTAGCATAAAGGTTTAGTTTGGAGTGTAAAATACTTTTAGCAGGGTCCAAAGTATATTTGTATTTAAAAGATCAAATGTATTATTTTGTGGCAGGATGTTGAAGAATGTAAAGCAGTGCCTTCTTGATGATTTCACACTGGGGTGTGTTCAGTATATGCTAATAACAAATATGATGGGGCTGTGCCATTGGGGAAAATGCCTTAACATTCCAAATGTGGAGTTTTGTCTTTAAGTTTATTTTAATGTCTCAAATTGTCATGACCAAACACTGCCATTAATACCTGTATGGTAGCTTGTAAGGATAGATCTTATTCTGGTCACCTCCAGTATAATTAATCTGAACATAGCTTTAACAAGTTGAGTTTATTCCTGACGTTACATCAATTATTCCTTTCATGTGCATGTTTGGTTATGTGTAATTTATTTTGTCCGTCCCAACCTGTAGAAATACCAGGACTGCACTGTCATTCCTATTCTGGGTGTATTATACAAAGGTTATTTCTGTAAATCTAGAATGTGTTTAAAGCAGCATCTTTCTAAATGTTATTGTTGCATCAACCTATGGTGACTGTTAAAAAAAAAGATTATGCTTTAAAGGACCAGTGTTGTACTTTTAATGTATTAAAAGAAGTTGGAATGTGTGCTTGGAGAAAACCTTTGGTGGGATCATGTGAAATGTTTTATCAATTATACCTATGTATTTATTCATAAAACAATCTTTTGTTAACTAAGATTTATCAAAGTTCTTTGTTTCCATAAATTCTGTATTTTCAAAGGGTTCACTTGACCAATAAAATCTCTACACTAATAAAACAGTAAAGATACTTTTCAGTTATTCTTTGAGAGATTTACTTTTGGTTAAGTGTGGGTTGCCAGTGTAATACAGATGTGGAGGTGTTGATGTTGGACTGAGGTGGACAAAGTCAGAAGTCACACGACACAAGGATATAGTCCAACAGGTTTATTTGGAATCACACAAGCTTTCGGAGCACAGCCCCTTCATCAGGTGGAGTGAGAGAGCAGGGCACACAGAAACAGAGTTTAAAGGCAGAGAGATCAAAAGATCATACAATTGGTGTGAGAGTAGTGTCACATGATAAGTCTCTGCAGGTGACCAAGAGTGTCAGACAGTGTGTAAAGTGTTTATAAAGTCAGTGTCAGTGCTGTTCTATCATGACAATCAGGCAGAGCCACAGGAATATACAAAAGGTGACATCTCAGATCAGGCACTGAACTGTAGGTGTGAGGCTTTGTTCGGAATCTGAAATCCAGCTGATTTTATTCGGCAAGATGGAATAAAAAAATGCTACACTGACTGACTGTGACTACAAATTGTTTTTTTTGAACAAAATAGAATGTATCTGTAAATAAAGAAATATCTTTGTTGAAATAATTCACCCCATAGATTTGTGTGTGTATGTTGGGAGAGGGGAGAGTGTGTGTGTGTGCATGCTTGAGAGAGTGTGTGAGGGTGTGACAGTATAGGTGTGTGTGAGAGAGAGGGGGGTGGTCTGTGTGAGAGTGTGTGTGTGTGTGTATGAGAGAGAGATGGGTACTGTGTGTGTGTGTTGGGAGAGGGGAGAGTGAGTGTGTGCTGGAGGGGGGGGGAGAGTGTGTGCGTCAGTGTGAGAGAGAGTGTGTGTGCGTCAGTGTGAGAGAGAGTGTGTGTG